GCCGCTGCCTCTTGGATCCGGTTGTAGGGCACAGAAGAAAATATGGGGAGGAGAATGAGGGGACTTGTCAATGTATTTCTTCTTTTCTCCACAACATCCTCTCAAAGAGTATAAAATCAGGGCTCCCCAAACTTGGCCACTTTAAGAATTCTGGGAGTTGAAATCCACAAGTCTTAAAGTGGCCAAGTTTGGAGACCTCTGGTATAAATCCTTTCCTTCCCCACTATCCTGTCAGAGCTGAAGAAGCTTCTTGGAGGAGGAGCGAAACGTCTTCGAAGAAAAACCAGAAAGTCCAGTTGCCTCTTGAAGGAGAAAAAAAAAAAGCACCTTTGGGGCAACAATATCTCAACAAAAACTAGCGGTGGGCAACTATGGACTATGAAGCCCACCGGTCGTAAAGAGGCCATAGTTACTCAGCCCTGCACCAAACGGACGGGACAGAACTTCTGAAGCAGAGTTTTCCAGGAGACTAACCTCAAGCTGGCTAATGATGGGGCTCAGCCCTTCCATTAAGCAAACACAACTCCACCAGCAAAGCCACAGAAACATCCACCCATCTCACATGAGCCTTGTGTGAGTTTATGACACGGCAACTAGGCAAAGCTTGCACAGAGTGCACAGCTAACCCTGACGGCAGGGAATATTTGGGGTTGAAATGAAGGGTCTTTTGTACTCTCTGGGCTTGGTTGTTGGTTTTTTTGCAGATGTTTCATGATCCAGCTAGGGAACATTATCAGTGCTAAAAGGGAGTTGGATTTGCAAAGATGAGGAGGAGGAGGAGGAGGAGGAAGAGCACTGTGGGGTCCTTGGTGTTCTCTGAGCTTGGCTGTTTTTTTGGTTTTGTTTTTTTTTGCAGACGTTTCATGGCCCAACTAGGGAACTTCATCAGTGCTAGAAGGGAGAGGGACTTGCTCTCTGGGGCAAGCCACTTGTATATGAAGAAAGAGCAACCATCACTCTCGTCTAGCACTGGTGGTGTTCCCTAGCTGGGTATTGGAGTGTCTGAAAGGAAACAGCCAAGCTTAGAGTGCACCAAGAACCCCTGATAAATAAAAATATACAGACCCAGGGAGATTTGCCGCACCAAGTTTTGTTTCGAGAAGACCAAAATAGAATCAGTTTCACAAAACAGCACATTTCACACTTTACAAATGAGAAAATGTGAAACATTCCAGTCTATCAACAACAGAAGGCGCCTGGTAAAAGCTTATGCCTTTCAATAAAGTACAGAAAAGGTGCTACTAGACATTTTTTTAAAAAATTGGCCACCTTGCAGAGTTTGCTTTTTATACTGGCCACACATCACCTAGTCCTCTTGCTGCTCTCAAAAGACCAGAGAATTTTTCCCAGAAGAAATAGCAAATCAGATGTCTCAAAGGTGTTTTTCCCCCCAAAAGGCAGCTGGACTTTGTTTTTCTTTGAAGACGTTTCACTTTTCATCCAAGAAGCTTCTTTGGTTCTGACTGAAGTTTTGACCAGTCAGAACTGATGAAGCTTCTTGGATGAGAAGCGAAATGTCTTCAAAGAGAAACAAAGTCCAGCTGCCTTTTGAAGAAAAGAAGAAAAAAAGCACCATGTCTGAGAATCTATTTCTAGATTCTAATTTCTACACCTAGAAAACCTAGAACTACGCCTCCTTCGGTCCGATCTAAGTATAGTATGTAAAATCATACATTGCAATGTCCTACCTGTCAACGAACAGCTTCAACCATAACACAAGAGCAAACAATAGATACAACTACCTGTCAACGAACAGCTTCAACCATAACAACACAAGAGCAAACAATAGATACAACTACCTGTCAATGAACAGCTTCAACCATAACACAAGAGCAAACAATAGATACAACTACCTGTCAACGAACAGCTTCAACCATAACAACACAAGAGCAAACAATAGATACAAACTCAAGGTTAACCGCACCAAACTTGATTGCAGGAGATACAACTTCAGCCACAGAGTGGTCAATGTCTGGAATCCTCTACCCGACTCTGTAGTTTCTTCCCCAAACCCCAAAAACTTTAACCTTAGACTGTCTACTATTGACCTCACCCCTTTCCTAAGAGGTCTGTAGGGGGCCTGCATAAGCGCACCAATGTGCCTACCCTCCCTGTCCTATTGTTTCTTTTTATTTTTCTTATATGTATCCGTTTCATATATCCATAACTATGTTTATACTTATATCTGTTATCTTATAATTGCTTGACAAAATAAATAATTAAAGAATCTCCATAGCAGATCAAATGCAATTCTACTCTCAAAGCAATTCACATTTACAGAACAATATCATTGACACAAAACTTTCTAGGAAAAAAAAGCAGCAGCAGCAAAAAAGATTGGCCAATGCCTTCCAGGGCGTGTTGGAGACGAGAAGCAGCCGCGTTCCAGGCACTACGTCTTTATCCTCATTTCAGTTGGCGCCAAGAGGACGGAGGTTTCAAAGAGGGAAAGAAATGCAGCTCCAAAGATCCGGCCTCAAAGGGGGGAAGATCCCTGGGACTCCTCCAGATGGGTCTCCCCAGCGACACCGGGATGCAAACACGGCGCGGAAAGCCGGAAAAAAGATTTTCACATTTCCTGACTTGAAAGCACCACCACCCGTCGTACAAACCTGGCTTGCACAGACATGTCCAACGCTGGAGTTTGTGCCGCTGAATTTCTGTCGACGGCTCTCCCCACCTCCACAGGTAAAGGGAGGGGAAGGGGGGGGGTAACAGCACATCTGGCTCCCAACAAGGTCCAGGCAGCGACCAGCAACTTCAACTTATCACAGTAATTTCAGGGGGGGGGGGGGGGGGGGGGGGAGGCTACTGAGAAAGCCAGCTGGACAAGAAGGCGGGTAACAGAACAATTGGGGGCAGAAATTTTGTTGCTAAACGAGCAAGGGTTATTATGTGAGTTGCACCTAGTTTTAATGGTTTCCATGGTTAGATGGCCTAGGTCAGGGGTCCCCTACTGGCTGGAGAATTCTGGGAGTTGAAATCCACCAGTCTTAAAGTGGCCAAGTTTGGAGACCTCTGGCCTAGGCCCCGCCAAGACACTGGTGTCTGAACATTGATTTTTTTAAGCATTCCTATGTTCAAAAGACCAATGTTCAGATATTAATGCCTAGGAGCAACTCACAACCACCATTGCTCATTTAGCCACAAAAATTCAATTTTATTTTGTTTGTTTTTAATCTAGGCAAAATGTTAATATATACACTGCAAGTCATCAGTGCTAGAAGGAAGTGGGGGTTTGTGGGGGGAGGAGGAGGAGAAGGACAACAACTGTGGGGCTCTTGGTATTCTCTGAGCTTGGTGGTTTTCTTGCAGATGTTTCATTACCTAACTAGGTATCATTATCAGTGTTAGAAGGGATGAGGAGTAAGAAGAGAGAGGGGGAAAGGACTGTGGGGTCCCTGGTGCTCTCAGAGCTTGGTGGTTTTCTTGCAGACGTCTCATGACCCAACTAGGGAACATCATCGGTGCCAGAATGGAATGGCGTTTGCTCTCTTTCTACCCTACTCCCTTCCAGAATGTTACCTAGTTATGTAATGAAATGTCTGCAGGAAAACAACCAAGCACCATTGAACCCTCAGTTCAATCCTGAGCTTCTAGCAGCATTAATCAAATTTATATGCTGCCCATCTTGCTATGGATTGACTCTAAGCAGTAAGTAAAGGCAATAAGATAAAAACATCAACTATCAAAATGATAAATACTGAAATTAAAATTGACTTCACAAAGTCGGCAAGGAAAGCAGCCAGATGCACACAGGTACTTCTTGAAAAATGGATGTTGTATTATTATTATAATACTCCTTATTGTTTCCTTTTTCTGTCTTTTTATTGGGTGCAAGGTACACCAAAAGACACACTGGAAGCTGCCACACACCACTGAGCAGCCCCGAAATCTCCACCAGAAAGGCTGGGATTCCAGATCCCTCAGCAACAGGGAGTAAAGCCAGCAACCGCTGCAGTGTGCATTTATTTTGGGTGTTTTTTAGCATTTTTATCTTTTTCATGGTTTTGGACACCGGAAGCCACCCAGAGTCCTTGACTGAGGTGGGTTGCTACAGCAATCAAATTAATGCAATAGGTTAAAGGAATAAATGAATAAAACATGTCCTGGCAACCCAAGTTTCCCCACTTAGCAGGCCTGTGAACAGAACCACACAGGGACAACTAGAGGAAGGGTCTCCAACCTTGGCCCCTTTAAGACTTGTGGACTTCAACTCCCAGAATTCCCCAGGCAACCCTAACAACTCATGGCTGGCTGGGGAATTCTGGGAGTTGAAGTCCACAAGTCTTAAAGGGGCCAAGGTTGGAGACCCCTGAACTAGAGAACCAGGCAGCTAAAAGCAAAGAGGAATTTTGGGCTTGGAGGGCATCAGGGAAGGGAACTGGGGAAGAGGAGGTAGGGGGGAAGGAGGAGGCCTCCAAGTCACAGATCACAACCTCCCCATCACACAGACACACACACACACACCACACACACACACACAAAAGCATCCCAGTTGTGGAGTCCCCTGTTAAGGACAGTCATGGATTCTGCAGGGTGGGAGTTGAGGAGGGGTCACATCTGGACAGGAGGCTGCCCGGGAGAGGGGGAGGGGACTGCCAAGGGGGTCTTTTGGGGTCCCCCATGCAGAATTGCACCCCGAAGGAGAAATGAATTGCACCCTCCCCCCAACACAGAATTCCCGCCCTTGAGCAGAGCCCCGAAATGAAGGACCCCCGCCCCATAGGAAGGGCACCCGAAGCATCGTTTTGGGGGGTGGGGGGAGGAAAAGAGCCCCCCCCCACTGCCTCCTCTTCTTCCGAGCCCCCCACCTGGACCCCCGTGTTTCTTTCCTCCCCCTCCCGAGCCAGGGTTATTTTGGGGCGAACCCGCATCTTGCCCATCCGCGTCCCCACGACCCGCTTAACCCGGCCACTTTCAGACACCATACCTCCCCCTCCCACAGACAAAGGCACACCCCGAGCTCCTCCTCCCCCTCCCCTCCCGCCGAGGCCTACCTGCTCGGCCGTCCCACCTGGCAGGGCCGTCGTGAGAGGGGCAAGGCCGGCGGCTCGGAGGGGGCGCCGAGGGGGCCGCTCCCAACCCACGGGCTCGCGGGGGTGCTGGGGATGCCGCACGGGCTCCAGTCGGGGCCTCCCACGCCCCACCGAGGTCGAGTTGGGCCTCTCCGCGGGCCGCGGCCGGAGCGGAGGCAGCGGCGACGGTGAGCGCGGCCCGGAACTACGCCTCCCGGCAGGCCCCGCGCACCCAGGCGCCCGGCTTCCGCTCTTGGGGAGCGGAGAGACTACACCTCCCGGCGGCCCTTGCGCGGCGAGCGCTTGTCTTGTCTTTCCCCCCCCTTCCCCCCCCCCGCTTCCGAACGCGGCTGTATTGCTGTTGCCTAGGCGACGCCCCGCCTCCGCATTCCAATGTGCGGCGGCGAAGCCGGGCGCCGGGCAAGGATGGTGGGTCTGCGCGCGCGCGCGGCTGGGTGGGTGGGGGGCGCTTGCAAGGCGGGGGGCGGGCGAGGGGGGCAGGAGCAGGTGGGAAAGGTGGAGGAAAGCCCCGCTGCAGATTGCACTCCTGCTTCCATCATCCCCAGCCACGGCCAAGGGAGGAGGGCGCGCTGCCCGGGACCGGCGGTCCGGATTTGAGTGGGGGGCCGCGCCGTTCTGCGCGAAACCCCCCCCCCGATCCCGAAGCAGCCCCGGAGTTGCACCCGTGCAAGGTCGCGCCTGTTTTGCACGCTTCCCCGTGTGCGCCAGGGGCCCCGGTCCCCTGCAAGGCAAAGAGCGCTTGCTGCCGCCCTCTGCGCCCGATCCAGTGGGGGGTGCGCGCGGTCAGAGCATAGGGGTCAGAGCAGCGCAGCCTGGGCTTCCCAAAGTGCTACCTTCTGGAAGATCCCAACATCCACCGCTGACTTGTGGGACCCCCCCTACCAGGCTTGGGCTCCGACATCCTGTCGCCCTGAACCCCTCCCGGCTGCGGACGGAGCGCCGTGAATCTTGGCTGGCAGCAGTTCTGCGTCCTTGACGATGACGACGGTGAATTAAGAGCTTTATAAACTGTCGCACGTCCAGCGACCTCACAAAACCCCCGGAAGTTCATTGAACTTGGCCCAAGTCCCTTGAATTCCCCCTCCATCAGCCAGCCCTATAGGGCAACAGAATGACAGAGCTGGAAGGGACCTCGGAGGTCCTCTAGTCCAACCCACTGCTCAAGGAGGAAACCCCAAACCCTTTCAGACAAGAGGCTGTCCAATCTCTTCATGAGTCGGGCTATTCCACAGCCTAATAGCTCTCACAATCTAAAGATTCCTCCTTGGATTTAGAATGGATCTCTCTCGTTGTAAAAGTTCCACTCACTGGTTCTCGCCTTAGCTTTAGCTGCTAGGGGGATAGAATCCTCTTCCCTTCCGGTCTTTGGCGGTTTCTCTCCCTTTGGCTGGCCAAGGGAGCTGGAGGAGGGCAGAGCCTTGTGCAGAGGGCGCCCGGCCCAGAATCCCTGTCAGCAGGGCTAGGAGAAGTTGTAGGAACTCACCTGCGTTATGGAGTCCAGTTCGGACTGCAACGTAGTTCTTGTACTTCCTGGTGTTAATTCTGTGGGGTCCTTGGTGCTCTCTAAGCTGGTCTCTTGCAAACATTTCATTTCTCAACTGAGCGACATCCCCAATGCCAGAAGGGGGAAGGAGGAGGAGGAGGAGGTGGTGGAGAACTGTGAGGTCCTTGGTGCTCTCCAAATTTGGTGGTTTTCTTGCAGACGTCTCATGACCCAACTAGGGAACATTATCAGTGCTGGAGGAGGAATGTGAGAATCCTTGGTGCTTTTGGGGCTTGGTTTTCTTGCAAAAGGGCCCATCTAGGTAACTAACTATCACCGCTAAATGGGAGGAGGTAGCTTATCTGCAGCCTATACCCAGATAAGCAGGGATTGGCACCAGACAAACAACAAAGCAGAAAATAGTACATTAATGAAGGAAGGTCCAAGGAGAAAAATCACAACCCCACCAACACTGACAGGGCAAGTTCCTAGATATAAACAGAGCTCAAATCCCACACTCCCTCACACTGATGATGATACTTAGTTGGGTCATAAAACATCTGCAAGAAAACCACCAAACTCAGAGAGCACCAAGGACCCCACTGTCGTCCTCCTCCTCCTCCTCTCTTCAAGCCCCCTTCCCTTCCACCACGGATTATGTTACACCTAGCTGGACCACGAACGGTCTCCAAGCAAACAGCCAAGCTCAGAGAACAGCAAGGACCCCACCGTTCGAACCCCTGAGCTGCAAATATTTTCTTTTGTCTGTTAATTCTGTTTTTCCGTTTCTTCTCCAGGCAAGCTCCGCTCTTTCCTTTCCCAGGTGGGTAATTTCTTCTCCCAGCCTCACCAGGGATTTGCAGAGCTGCAAGAAGCGCCCGTGAATTATTCCAATCTCTCCTCTGTGCCTCCCATCTCTCTCTCTCTCTCTCTCTCTCTCTCTCTCCCTGGGCCTCTGCCCCGAGGGCGTCTCTTTCCTGGCGTAGAATCCGTACCGGCTGTGGGGCAAGAGCAAGGATCGGGCCTAGGCAAGCAGGGGGGGCACTGACCTCCAAAATAATATGGCAATTTCGGCTGAACAGATAACAGGGGAGGGAAAGGAGAGGGGTGGGGGGGCCACCTGGAGAAAACCCTGATTCGCACTCAGATCTCCTGCACAATGCAACTGTCGTTGTGTGCTTTGAGGGATGGTACACCCCAATGGCGTCGCATCATAAAGAAAGGGGTCTCCCCTGCTCCCCCACTCCCCCCCCCCAAAGCTCTGGCTGCAAAAGCAAGTGGCTAAACTTTTGTAGCCCCCCCATTGGTATGTGGGGCTAATGGGGTGCAGAAGGACAGCTTGAAGCCACATGTGGGACGGGATGATTGGGACTTTCGAACTGGACCGTTTTAAGCCACGTGGACTTCAACTCCCAGAATTCCCCAGCGAAAAGGTGGGTGTGGCTGAGCAACAATCTCCGTCTCTTCCACGTGATCGCCATTTCTGACCTTCTGACAAGCGAAGTCCATGGGGGAAACCAGATCCGCTTAGTGACCACAGCAGGAAAGTCATGAAACGGAGCATGGCTCACTTACTGTCTTAGCACCCAAACTTCTGGTCCCAATTCTGGTTATAGGTTGGCAACTCCCTGTATCTTCGAGGCTGAAAGTCAGAATTCTAACAACCATCTCCACCTCCTCCCCTTCCTTCCTTCCTTCTTTCCTTCCTTTCCTACTCTTCTTCCTTCCTTCCCTAACTCCTTCCTTTCCTCTTCCTCCCTTCTCCTTCCTCTCTCCTTCATTCCCTCCTCTTCCTTCCAACCTTTCCTCATCTTTTTTCCTTTCTTCCTTCACTCTTTCCTTCCCTAATCCTTTCCTTCTTGTTTTTCCCCTTCCTTTCTTCCATCCTCCCTCCCTTTACCACCTCCTTCCTCCCTCCTCCTTCCCTAATCTTTCTTGTCTTTTTTCCTTCCTTCTTTCCATCCTCCCTCCCTCCTCCTCCCCCCTCCCTCCCCCCCCCCCTCCCCCCCTCCCTCTCCCTCCTCCAAGATTCCGGGCCAGACCTCTTGAGACCTGCCTGGGATCTGGTCCAGTCTTTTTTATGGATTTATCACATATGTGCCCTAAATTGATGTCACCAGTCGGGCACAGGAGTTCCACGGCTGGCACTGCTCAGCTCCGGCTGCTGCTGCCCGTTGGCTCCACACGGCAAACATTCTTGGCACAACCCCTGGGTTAGCCCACCCCACACGAAGCAGCAGGCCCTGGCTTCTGAGGGTTATCATGTCACACACTGACGTCCTGTGGCTTGGTTTGGGCTTCCATGGTGATTTGTGAACCGTGGTTTATAGGAGGGGTCTCCAAACTTGGCCACTTGTGGACTTCAACTCGCAGGATTCCACACGTCTTAAAGGGGCCAAGTTTGGGGATCCCTGCTTTATAGAGTCACTCTGGAACAGGGCTGTCCAGAGCGCGTGGTCAGAAAAGTCAAGGGGGCCACAGCAGGTTTCACGCAATGCACACTTTTGGCCTCATTGCCACCCTGCCACTTTTGTGGCCAGCAGCCCCATCCCTTCCCTGGAGCGTGGCCATTCTCTCCCTCCCTCCGGCCACAATACCCCTCCCCAAACGTAGAAGGTGTGGACAGAGCTCCGGGGTCCCAAAACAGCCAGCCCGGCAGCCTCCCTGGCTCAGCCGTGTGCGAATCTCTGGGCGTGTGCCCTTGTGTTTCGCCAGCACAGCTGGGAAGACATGCGTGTCCTGGAATTACACCAAGGCCTCCCTCCAGGCGCCGCCACTGGACTTCTCCTTCCGGGGCATCAGCTTCATACAAGGTACGACCGAATCCCCTGCCTGGCGCCGTTTTTATTCCTGGGTTTTGATATTGGATATTAGAAGATGCCCCCGATGCTGTGGAGAGGGGCACACTTTTAAAGGAAACCCATGTGCCACTGCTGCGATTCAAACTCTGGGCCACTAGAGCCTGCTTGGTCTAGTGGCTGAGGTAGGCTAGAAACCAGGAGACAGGGAGTTCTAGTCCCGCCTTAGCTGGGAAAGACAGCTGGGTGAGTTTGGGCCAAT